CTTGCACTTATCCACATTGAACGCCATCCTGTTGTCTCCTGCCCACTTCCATAGTCTGTCCAGATCATTTTGGATCTGGAGTACGTGCTCCTCAGTTGTGGCCACTGCCCCAGTTTTAGTATCGTCTGAGTCTAAATTTGGAAAGGAGATGGAACTAGATTCATATTACTTAATACACTTAATATACATTCATATTAAACTTAATATTGGCAATAGATTGATCTAAAGCCAGAACTTTCTAACCTCATTCCTAGAAGATGCAGTTACCCAAACGTGTGCCTTCTAGACAGTTGGATTAGGACTCTCAGCCAGGCACACAAAATCCACTGAACATTATATCCAAAATCTGTTTTGAGTTGGGGACACTGTTTGCTAATGGAAAGATGGTCTACTGATTTCTAGCCATGTTGTCTTGACTAAAGTTGGTGAAAATCCTGCCTGAGGAGAAAAAAAATAGAATACTTCCTGGGAAACTGTTTAAGGGATGTTGCTGGAAGTATGACAAAAGATACTTCTGCCAACAACTGGCTATGTTGGACCACAGTGCCCATCACGCCAAGCCAGAATGCTGCTAGTGAAAGCTTGGCATGAATTCAAGGTACAACTCCTACGCCACACTGAGCTCCAGAGCATTTCTTCTGAGGAAGCCGATACAGCTCAAGGGCAGAGCTGCTTGCAGCCCAAGCCCTAAATTTCATGCCAGAGGTGTTGGGAGGGTTGGGGTGGGGTGATTGGTGGGGGGGGGGGGGGCTCAAACAATGGAGCAGAGCCAAAAACATCAGCCCATGGCAGCTTACAGCTTTTAGGGCCCAGAGAGGCTTTTCAAACTCTTAAAAGGGGCAAAACCTGCACAAAAGCATGGAAATCAACAACCAATCAGTGGTTGGGGGAAGGGGGCACAGGTCTCTAGGCTGCCTGAGGGTTGGAATGGGGCCCTGGGAGTCCTAGAACTGACCTCCAGGCCCAAGGTTCTGCACTCCTGATATTTAGGGTTGCCGCATCAGAAATCTCTCCCTCCTTTTCAGTATTTTTTACTGGAACGACCAAGCCCATTTTCGACCCAAACTACTCCAATTCACAGCAGTCTCAGCTCAAAGAAGAAATAAAGATGAACAGTTCTCCAAATCGTCATGGCCTGGAGTGACCCCTGAGAACACAAGGAGGGACTGTGAGCCCAGAAGTGAATTTGCCATCAAATTAACTCAGCCACGACATCAGCACCATTTGGATGCAAGGCCTTCCCCATCCTAAAGCACTAAGAATCCAGAGATACAAATGTCTTCATACAGAGCCGCAAATCTGACAGCAATCCAATGTGGAATCACCACTCCTCATGAACTCAGAGACAGTTTTGGTGGAGTCGCTGCCAGACACTGCTTGGGGGCAGCATTCAGACCATAGATCTCCAGCTGCTCATACCTTGTTTGAAGAGAACAAGCATACACCCCCAAAAGTGAATGAGCTCTTACCCGAAAACCAAAGTTCCATCTTTCCGGATCCCAAACTGAGCATTCTGCACTCCCCCAGAGGTTTGCACCAGGTGCCCGTCACTCACGATGTTTCCAAAGCACTCGCCCGTGTCCATGTCAAAATAGCCCCCATTCTGAGCCACAAGGCACTTGGTGAGCCTCGCGGTCTCTTCCACTGTCCCTCTGCTGCGGGAACGGCAGCCTCCTGGCCCACCAGGCTCTAACACGGAGAACGTCCTCAGAGGGGCCCTGGCAACAGTGAGGTGGCCGTATACTTGCCGGCTATTCTGATCCTGAGGAGGGAAGTAGGAGACAAAGCTGCTTGTGATGGCCAGTGGGAAGACGCTGCTGTTGTCGGCAGGCCAGGATTCATGTGCTGCATTGCCCGCCAGGAGAGCCTGACAATCTCGGATGTCCCGGAGATGCTGTGGCCCGTGTTGTGGTGGAGAATATGGCAGCAACAGATCATCATTTAAAGAATTCCTGAAAGTTAGCAAGCATCAAACATACACTGTTTCATATGAAGGCAAAACGCACCTTCCAGTAATCCTCTTTTTTTATCAGAATTCTTTGATGGAAAACAAGACTATCCATCCACGCAGTCAGCCAGCCATATAAATAAATATCTAAATGAATAAATTAGTATAAACCTTCAACACGAATGTGAAAAAAAGTAGTTTCAATTTACAATGATGAATAAAATGTTTCCACTTTTCTTTCAATATTCTGAAAGACTATTCTCTCTCGTTCTGAGTTAATTCTGTCACTGCTACTAGGTCACACATTTTATTGTACTGATCTGAACCCATTCTTCAATTATCCTCATACAGTATCATAGCAGCAAGCTTCCAACATCAATAATGCTGTTTCAGAATCCCAATCTCAGTCTATCCTGACAAAACAAGAAGGTCTTACTAAGATAATTAACAAGTAAAGCTTCATAAACAAGATGTTAAACTTCCTTCCCTGCAGTTCCCTCTTCAAATCTCATCTTTATCATATTGCCTTTGGTTTATCTGCTTAATTCTAATTCTGGATGGTAGTTAAACAAAGCATTAGCATCAAAATCCAAAGTTCTGCTCTTTAGCTCCTATCTTCGACCAGCACACCCTTGCTATAGCGACTGAAAGACTCGGCTAGAGAAAAAGCATTTAAAAGAAGGACAAAGAGGTAAGGCTCCCTTCTCTCACCCTGTCTACCCCATCAGCAGCAGTCCATTAGGGCACCAGATACATGAGAGTCATCAAGACCAGAAACTTCCCTGTAAGAGCAGACTCTGTGGTTTGTACTCTCAGGGAATCATCAACAATAGTATACCTCATAGTACATCATTCACATTTTATGGAACACAGACTTTAAAGGCACCTCCTTCTCCTGGGCCTGCCATTGGACATGGAGTTAAAGTCAAAGAACGCAGATTGGTTTAAAGGACTATCTTCGTGTCACCAGAAGTCCATTAAACATGCTTCCAATATTGAACATGTTGCATGTTTATTATCATGTTAAGCATGTTCCTTCCTGTTATCTGTCATTTACACAGAACTATATAGTAGTAGAGCTGGAAGGGGCCAAGAGGCCAACTGGTTCAATGCAGGACTCTAAGTTAAAGCATCCCTACTGTGTGGCTGTGCAGCTGCATCTTGAATGCCTCCAGGATGGCAGAACCTGTGACCTTCCTAGCTAACCTGTCCCATTGTCCTATTGCTCTAACAGCCAGGATTTCTTTCCTGACATTCAGCCCATTATTCCATGTCCTGCCCTCTGGGATGACTGAAAAGAGATCCTGGCCAACCTCTATCTACCCTCAGTATTCTCTTCTCATAGCTAAGCATGCCAAGTTCTTCTAGTCTCTCCACAAAGAGCTGAAATCAGATTAGCCTGGCAGGATTTGTTTGTGACAAATCCACCTTGGCCTCTAGTAATCACTGCATTGTTTCCAAAGTGTTTATAGCCTGCTCCAGAATTTTCACAGGGATTGATATGAAATTGACTGGTCTGCAGCCCCCAGGTTTCTCCTTGTTCTCACTCAAAGATAGGAACAACAATAGCCTTTCTTCAGTCATCTGGCAGTTTACCAGTCCTCCATGATTTCTCAGATAATGACAGTTCTTCTTTCTATTCCATTTTTTATTCTAGGATGCAGGTCATTGGGCTCTGGTGATTTGAACTCTAGGTGTTCCTGACTATTTGCCTAACAAGCTCAAGCTGCATCCAGGCAGGGAAAGAGGTCAAAAGAGAAGTTCCTCCCAGGGCCTGCAACCAAGCATCACTTGGCAAAGTGCAGGTCAGACCAGAAGGCAGATAAAGCTGGGCTGCAAAGTTCTTCTGCTTGCAAGAAGAGAAGTGCTTTTGCTCAGAGTACACCTACAAGTAGGTGGTTCTGCACCAAGCTGGATAGGAAACATATACATGATTAGCTGCTTTGAAACTTTTGCTTAAACTGGTTCTACTCATATGAACATACTAACACCGGAAGAGACCAGATATTGAATCTGATCAAAAGCTTATTTTGCCCAGCAGCCAACTAGATGTCCCTGGAAAGCTCATAAAGCACAAAACACCCTCCCATGCGTGTTGATAAGCTGTTCTGGCTAAGAGAGATAATAGACAATTAAGATTCAAATTAGCCACTAATTTGGTTGGTTCCCCATGGCTTTAAAGCAGCCAGGAAGAGTGAAATTAAGCAGTCCCTTATGGAAGAGTTGCAGTGCCTCGATTTGAGTGTTGGGCAGCAATTAAAGTCATCCAAACAGAGCCAGTGACCAAAAAAAGCAGCAATTCTACCCAAGAGCACGAAAGCACATGCACTCCTATGTTCCAAAACAAGTTAAATCATGAAGAGGAGTGAGGAGTGTGTGGACGTGGCTGAGACCAGCCACGTGGGACCGGCGGTGATTATAGGTAGGAACTCCTCCCCCCGCTCTGAACACTTACCGGACCGCAGGGGTGCCCAGAACTCCCCAAAGGCAGCGGAGCAGCACCAGAAAGAATACAGGCCAAGCAGCCGGTTTCTGCAGCCTGCCTGCTGCGCGCAACGGGCGCGCCACGGACGCCGCCATGTTGAGCCGGCGGCATGGTCACCTGATAGGTCGTCACGTGACGGGGCTCGAAAGGCAACTCCCGCAGCGCGTGGCTGCCGCCGCCACGCCCCCTGGTGGGCTTCTGGCAGAGTCGCGGGACGTGCCCATCCGATCCAGGCGAAATGTATCATGCGTATTAGTAACCATCTTATTCCTTATAAATAATTGTTACCTCGTGTGTATTTCTTATATTTTTATTCGGCCTAATAGCCAGTGTTCTTCGGACAGATTTCAACCAGTAAAAGAGCTAAAATGCGCACAGTTAAAAAGAATACAAATATTTAAAATAATACAAAGCAATACAGTACAAAGACATCACACAGTGCTGAAGCTGGGATACCTGCTCTGTAAAGTTATGATTGTTGTTTCTCGCGGTTTTGCAGATGAGACCAGAGACAAGTTCGTAAACTTAAAAAGGAGTTTATTAACCTGCAGGGACCAACATTCTAGTAAGAATGCGGTTCCTAACAGAGTTGGAACGAGATTTTTATACCTTCACAGTCAGCTTTCGGCAAATGGGGAAAAATACAATCAGTTTTTGACAAGAATGAGAACAATGGCGACAACGGGAAGTTACAAAATCATATAGCAGAAGTTAAGCAAGCGATATACAGAAGCAGATTTGGTTAGCAGTAAGTTTTATCTTTTAATTTGCACCTTTTAGGCAATCTTTGCCCATTACATAGGTAAGCTCTTTCCATTTTCCGAGGGAAATTTTCTGAGACAGCTGATAGACATTTTGAATGGGCTAGAGCTTAGGGGAGCTAAGCCTATCATGAATGCCCTGAGACAGCTGATTATTCTAATATTTAGCAGTGTCATGCCTATCCTGAATGCCCTGAGAAAGCTGATAGATCTTTCCACTATGTCAGGAGCTGGGGGGGTCAGGCCTAACAATGATCAAGAATTATAATGGGAGAAATTGTATGCCCATGGCTCATCAGCCCCAAAGTTGGTTGCCAGTCGTGGGTTCTGCCCCCTCTCCCAGCAGCAGGGGGCCCAAAAGGGCACACGCCAGTCCATCAACTCTCGGCCCTCCGCCACCTTGTCCCCGCCAGTAAGAAGCCGCCAACTGCACAGGGAGATGCTGCTGAAGGGACGCTGTTTGCAGGGCTCTGGCTGGGGGGCTCTGGTTCCAGGGCTCCACTTCACAGGCTCTGCTTGCCAGGCTGGGTGGGTTCAGGAGCTCGTGTCTCAGACAGCTGGTCTCTCGGGCCCGTTTGCTCTTCCTTCACTGTCCCCAAAGTTCTGGCACTGTCGGTCTTCCCAGCCGTGGCTCTCAGGCGACCAAGCATCGTTCCATGGAATATGTCAGAAATAAATACCAATTAGGAGGCGCAAACAATGGGGTGCCACTGCAGAGAAGCCCCTGTCCTCCACCATCCCTGGGATTTCAGTGAGCAGGAGGGTCTACGGAGGGGTACCAGTGCGGGGCAACTAAGGAGCGCATGGGAGCAGCTGCACCTTGCAGCGCTCTGGCCCCTGAATGCCCGGGGGTTGTCCGTCATCACCAGCACCTTGAATGGTGCTCAGGGGGTGAAAGAGGACGGCAGGAGGAGGTTGCAGGTGGGAGGAGCTGGAGGAAGGGATTGCAAGCGAGGGCACCAACGGGACGCCCCGTGGTCTTGTTAGGGTTTCTGCGGGCAGCAGAAAGGGCTTCCTTGGCCTCTCTGAGTGCAGGATGCAGAAGGGTCTGAATCCTGCAGTGGTGCGGCCTGTCGGCAGCTCTGGTGGTGGAATACCTGAGGGGGAAAGGAGGGAGGCCCTGTTTGTCATGTCCTGTGGGGAACACGTGCCCCCCCCCCCCACTCCCTAGGCAGCATTCAGAGAACTGCATTCATGCGGCACTTCATGGCCCAGGTCGAATCTTCTCCATGAGGCTCTGCCAGAACCAGCCCTCCTGCCACGTATTTCAGGAGCGCAATTGCACGTTCTGCAGTCTTGGACTTCAGGGAACAGCTTTCAGCCCTCTCCTGTGTACGACCCTTAAGGTCTTTCCACATTCCCACTGCTGAAGTGCTTGGTGCACAGAGCTTTCACCCCACGCCCATAACACAGCCCACATAAACACAGGGATTCAGAGACATTGGCGGACTCAGAGACCAAGAAGGGTCGT